CCCCCCCGGTATCTCATGCGAGCCCTCGCCTGGCGCGCTCCGCCTCCTCCTTTGCCCTCATCACCTCCCCGCAGAAGGCGATAAAGGCCGGTCGTTGCTCCTTATTGAGCACGACCTCAATGATCGCGGGCAGAGTGAGGTCCTCGCCGACGACTCGGACGAGGGCCGCCCTCTGTTCCGCCCATGCCGGGCACTCCCTTAACGTGTGTGTGGCTGTGTCGTCCGCACAATGCCAACAGCGGTTGGACGACTCCCTGCCGATGCGGCGCAGGTAATGCAGCCGTAGCCCGTCAACACCTGCGCTGCATGGAAGGAGACCCCGGTCTCCTTTCCAATCATTTACCGATTCGCGGTCGGATGGCGTCCACCAGTTTCCTGCCGCCGTGCTCTCGCCATCCAGTCCTCCCATCTGGCGATCATTCTTTTGGCGGCTCGTTCCCTTATGCAGTACTCACCTCCGTGGGGATCGCTACCGCCCTGGTTAGTTGTTTCATCGCCGCCGTCTTCTCGAAAATCTCGGCGCGCATTCCTGCCATAAGCTCGAATGGCGACATACCGGCGAGCGCCGTGTTCGCGGCAAACGACGTGGTTTTGTACGCCTTGATTGCTCGTCCTACGAGCCTTCTTTGTGAGGCACGGAGGATACCGCGTATCCTCCTATTTGCCTCCGCCTCTCGGTGCCAAACGGGAGCGTCGTAAAGCGCCACCGACGCAGTAACGTTGGCGTACATTAGCCGCACTCTGTCGCCGGGTCCCCCTAAGTTTGGCAGGAAGCCGGCCAATCCCGCCGCCATACGCTCGAACTTTGGCGCTAGACTTCGGAAGTACGGCTCGAACGTCCAGCGCGAGTCCATTGTCAGGCCCAAGTATTTGATCTTGTAGTCAATGGGGATCTCCTGTCCCGCCACGCGTATTTTTATATTCGCGGGGCGCCCTCTGCGATGAAAACCAATCGCCTCGGTTTTCTCTAGGGCGACGCTAAGGCCCATCTCCTCTATTCTTGCGGTCACGTCGCAGATCGCCTGGTATTAATTACCGCCTCCTCCCAGTCCCCGCCAGCCACCAAGATCATCGTATCGTCTGCGTAGCAGACGACCCGGCAGTCCGGCGGGAGGTCGGACCGGCGCAAGACCATGTCGTATCCAATGTTCCACAGGAGTGGACCAAGTACCGACCCCTGTGAAACCCCTCTCCCAACCTGTTGTCTCGACATGGCCCCATCTGCCATCGGGTATATCAGGCTTCTTCCAGAGAAGTATGATCTCACGACTCTCCGCAAGTATCGAGGGATTCTATGTTCCGCCATTGCGCGGCCGATCTCGTCCCAGGGCAGGGAGTTGAATGCCTTCCGCACATCCAAAGAAACGCCAACCACCGCCATGCCCGCCTGTGTGGCCTCCTTCACGAAGCGCCTGACGCACAACATGGCGTCTGTAGTGCTGCGGCTCCTCTTGCCGTGCTACAGGGCGTTTGCGTCGGGGTCGCCATCCCCTATCGGCACAATGGGGAACCGTTCCGTACGGAACGGCTTTCCCCGGGGCCCACTCCGAAGAGCGGGCCCCCTTGGGGTGCCGGACCCTGTGTACAGAGTCCTCCTATTTAGCGGAGGACTCCGTACGGGGCGCGTTAGACCCCCAAGGCATCCCCTGGGCGAGCCCCCTCGCCGCGGCAAGACCGCGCCCCATGAGGGGGTAGCCTAACTTAACCCTAACCTAACCCTAACCCTAACCCTAACCTAACCTTGAAACCGGAGCCAAGTCCCCGGCTTCATGTCCGGTGCAGCCGCGCCAAGGAGAAAGGAGCTAGCCGCCAGGACAGCCGGAAGAGGTGAAGGCGTAACACGGCGCCGGCGGGATGTAAGTTTGTACAGGTTTTTCTCGGGAGTTATTACCATACGCGCGGGGTTGTCAATTTTATTTGATTATCGTTACGAACATAAAAATTATTAAAATTACTATTATTATTATGATTAGCATTAGCGTCACTACTCTATTAATATCAGTGTTAAGGTAAAAAGGTGTAAATATTGTTATGATAAGAAAGAAAATTAAAAGGAAAGGAAAGAAAAAGGCTTATTGGTTAATGTAAGATAGTTAGGAATGAGAAGTAGTTAGAGCCCTTAAGGCGACAAAACCGTAGAAATAAACGCACAAAGCAAATAACCATTATACCGGGTGACGGGAAAAAAGGTATCGCGAGATATGCTAAATTAAAGGGCAGAACCTAGTAAAAACCAATTGTTATGTTCATGCTAAGCATCAAAAGGACGTATTGTTAACATTGGAAGTCACCACGTATACCGGGTGACTATAAAAAATTGTCACGATACACTCAAAGTTAGAATATTAGGAAAAGCAATCGTTATGTTCATGCTAAGTGTCAAAAGGACGTATTGTTAAAATTGGAAGTCACCACGTATACCGGGTGACTATAAAAAATTGTCGCGATACATTTAAAGTTATAATATAAGAAAAAACGATCGTTATGTTCATTCTAAGCGTCAATGACACGTGTTACTTAAATTTGGAATCACCATGCATACCGGGTGACCATAAAAAATTGTTGCGTTATACGTAAAACTAACAGATCAAGAAAAGCAATCGTTATTAATATTGTAAGCACCAACTGGATGTGCTGTGGAAATTTGAAGTCACCACGTATACCGGGTGACCATGAAAAACTGTCGCGATACACTTAAACTTAGAATATTGAGACAATGAATCGTTAATCCCATCGTTATTACCAAGGCGATGTGATTAAAATTTGGAGTCACCATGCATATCGGGTGACCCTAAAAAATTGTTGCGACACACCTAAACTTAAAATGTCGGGGAAACCGATCGTTATTATCGTTGTAAGCACCAAAGGGGCATGCTGTTAAAATTTGAGATTGTTACAAATACCGGGTATACATAGAATATTGTTACGGCATCGGAAGAATGAATAATTAGAATCGTGAGGATATACATCACTGTATGTAATGTATATAGAGAAAGGGGGGTGCAGTCGGAAGAGTTTAGTAACCTGTAAATAAATTTAATTAGAATAATACTTACCTGTAACTCCAGCGGGAGAACACGAGCGGCTGCATCTTTCCATTACGGCGAGATACCTGAAAATAAAGAAAATCATTGATTAAAAACTAAATAATAATAAAATGCAGGAATAGAATCAAGCAGCGTAGCTAGTAAGAGTGGCTAACGTTGCGAGCGCTGACAGCGCGCAGAGCGAATGATATGATGCGAGCGTTAAGGAGGGAATAAGCAGCCCCTATAAGAAGGCGAGCGGAAGATGAAACGAGGCTGTTCGCCAGAGAGAATTCGCGAGTCCAGAGTCCGAGGCGACTCGCAGGGAGTCACGAGTCCGAATCAGGAAATGGGTGGTCTTCCAGAGATTTTTGAGGAGTTCGTTAACTAGGACCATTCTGAAAACAGTCAAGTAATCATCGTCGTTGTCGCGGGGAAAGTTCTTCTCGGATCGCTATCGAGTTTCATCGTCGGGGATTATTATCCATTTATTACCCGACTCGACCGATGAGTATCCGCAAGTTTCTAGCGGGATCGTTTCATTCGCGGGCCGGAAAGCCAAGGGCGAAACAGTGAACGGGGGCTACGCTCCGCGTCGATGACCGAATGATGAATGCGTACCGAAGTTGTAATAATTGTAAAACGTCTGAAGCGCGACGTGCGCATCTGGCGTAGTATCCCAGAGCGGCGTTAAATAATAATTGTGAAAACGTTAGTGAACGGCGTGCGTATATGGCGGAGTATCCCAGAGCGGCGTTGAATAAATAATTGTAAAATCGTTAATAAACGGCGTGCGTATCTGGCGGAGTATCCCAGAGCGGCGTTAAGCAAATGGTTGTAAGAAACAACAAAAGTGCTTCGACTAATAAATATCATTGTGAATTTCCTGCAACATACGGACTTGAATTTCAATGAAACCTTTCCCTCTGCGAGTGAGAAGAGTCGGAGTGAGTCGACCTATCGAGGCAAGGATTTACTGATACGAGACGACCAGCTGACCGAACGAATAACACCTCCTTTGGAGGTCAAAAGGAGTGGCGACCGTAATATATCACACATTCGGGGACCGAACGGTGAGTATTGGCTTCGAGTTCGGTTACAACCTAACCTTGAAACCAGCGCAAAGTCCCCGGATTCATGTCCGAAAGCAGCCGCGTCCAGCATCAAGGAGCAAGTTACGAGGGCAGCCACAAGGGGTGAAGGCGTAGCGCGGCTCCGGCGGTACGTGAAGTTGAACAAATTTATTTTGACGTACGTAGAAATATACGCGCGAAAGAAAACATTATTATTATTATTATTACGAGTTTTATTAGGATTACCATTATTATTATTATTATTATTATTATTATTATTATTCATATAACTATTATTACTCTTATTATTATTACCAATATTATTACTATTACTATTCTTATCAATATTATTATTATTATTATCACTATTATTACTAAAGAGAAAAAAATGTCAAAAAAGAAAAGAAAAAATTAACATTTAAGATAAGATAGATAGTCTAGCGCCCGCATAATGGGAAGATAGTATTACGGTCCAAGAGACCATGACTAAAGATAACTTGTTTTTTCTTTATTATTTATACATTGGGGCATCGGCCTCAATGGTTTCGGAAAGATAGGATTTGTCGGCGGAGAGTCAAACAACCCTAGTAACAAATCGTTAAAGCCCTTAAGGCACCGAAACCGCGAAAATACACGTGTTAAATGGCCACCACGTATACCGGGTGACTATGAAAAATTGTTGCGATACACTTAAAGTGACAATTTAGGAAAACCCGATCGTTAAGTTCATCGTAAACGCCAATGAGATGTGTGAGTAAAGTTTGAGGCCACCACGTATACCGGGTGACCATGGAAAATCGTCGCGACACACTTAAAGTTAAAATATTGGAAAAACCGATCGTTAAGTTCATCGTAAGCATCAATGAGACGTACCACTAAAGTTTGAGGCCACCATATACCGGGTGACCATGAAAAATCGTTGCAGCATACTTAAAGTTAATGGATGGAATAAAGCGATCGTTATGTTCATTGTATCAACGGGATGTGATGCTAAAATTTGAGGCCACTACGTGTACCGGGTGACCGTAAAAAGTCGCGGATTACCTAGAATAGGAATAGTAAGAAAACCCATCGTCATGTGCATGCTGAGCACCAAAGAAACGTGCTAGCTAAATTGGGGATCGTTCCGAATACCGGGGGTCCCTGAATTATTATTACGACACCAAAGGGACTAATAGTCGTGCTAAGGAAACGTATAGATGTATATAGTATATATAGACGGGGGGGGGGGGGGATGACCTGTAAATGAATTTTGTGTGTTAATACTTACCTGTAACTCCAGCGGGAGAATCCGAACGGCAGCATCCTTCCATTGTAACGGGGTACCTGAAAATAAATAAAATCATAGATTAAAAAATTAGATAATTATAAAATGCAGGAACAGAACTGAGCGGCGTAGCTAGTAAGATAAGGCTAAGGTTGTGAGCGCTGACAGCGCGCAAAGAGAACGAAGCGATGCGAGCGCCATGGAGGGGGTAGCGAGAAGGTATATAATCTTGAGCGCGAAAGCGTTCGGAGAGTGCGTTAACCGAAACCATTCCGAGCGGCAGGACAAGCGCGAAAGCGAGCGGGGCTACCCTCCAAAGGGCGTAAAAGGGTTTCGAGCGGGACCGTTTCAATCGCGGGCCGGAAAGCCAAGCGCGATAAAACGAACGGGGGCTCACCTCCACGCGAATAGTCGAGTGAGGGATGAATAAGAATTATGAGTGAGTACCGAAATTGTGAAAATAGTAAGTGATAAGCGACGTGCGTATCTGGCGCAGTATCCCAGAGCGGCGTTATTTAAATAATCGTGAAATGTTTAACGAGCGACGTGCGTATCTGGCGCAATATCCCAGAGCGGTGTTATTTAAATAATTGTGAAATATTAATAAGCGACGTGCGTATCTG